GAAAGACCACCGGCTGGGATTTAAACTGGCGACCTGCTCGCTGAGAGGCAACAGCTTTACCACCTGCGCCACCGTGCCGCTCGCTTTGCATTACCCTTCTGTCTTTCTAAATTAACTAAAGACAAACCTCTACTTTTTATCAGCCCTTTAAAGGACCGTGGTGTTTCTACAAACTTAAAGATTTCATGAACACCAATACACACACATATATAAATAAGTATATTTATAGAGTTACGAGGACACATTTGGAGAGGACTCAATAAGACCATCTGTATAGATAAAAGGTTAATAAAATAAAATACAGTCAAATCCACCCATTGTCTCCATGTATTTCTGCAGGTAAACAATCCATACGATCTGAGTAAATTAGATGGCATATAATTCCCAGATTATTGTTCTACTTTTCATAATTCACAGGTTCTTTTCTCGTCCCCTGCAGTATCTGTTCCCTCTCCGTCTCAATCTAGACTTTGCCCCCTCTCAGGTCGTTTGTAGCTCAGGAAACGGATCAATAAGGAGTTCAGATTTACTGGCTAAGTGCTCACCTTGGGTACTCGGTGCCATACAGTCCAGCCAGGGATTCATCTGGCTGCAGCAGAGTCAAGTTTCACATCTTCTGAGAGACACAGCCAGGAGAAAATCTAGTTTAAAAATCATTTTAAATGACTCCACAACATAAAGACTCAAAACTTAAAAGGGATGTTTCTATTTAATCTGTGGAAAAAGCCATGTGGCAGAATAAAAAGCCCTAAACTGGAGTTGTCCCAGATTGGGTTTAAATTAGCTAATTAGCTAATATGCTAATAACTTTAGCTTGTGAAAACTGACTTGTAAAACTAGCCAAACTTGTAAAGCGGGTATGATGAAAACAGGCTCAACAACGATGCAAACAGACCAATTCTGCTCAAAATAAATCATTTACTTTAAACCAAACTGTACAGAAACACCGATGTGGACGCAGAAACGAGTTGTTTCGAACTAAATCAAATGGTTTAAAGTCCTCTCCGGACCGATGACATCCCATTTTAAACAGCGACACGTCAGTAACGCCTTACCGGGAGTAGGAGGCGTCATTTTGGTCCGAAACCACCGCGGAAAACGAGCCCAAAGAGTTAAATGTAACACGTCCAGTAACGTTTATCAGTTCCACGTTCCGATTTGACTCAACGCCTCGTTAGGACTGTTCATAACCGTCTGGAGCCAGTTCCTTAAAACAGAAAAAAAAAAAAAAAAGCGATGCGGTTTTTAAGGGCAAAGCAATCGAACCCAGCTTCCGGGTAGGTGGAAGTCTAAAGAGAATCGGCCGAGCAATCTATTTTTCCACTGTTCGATTTATCAGGCCTGGAGCAGATGAGGCTGATGTGAGATGTCAGCGCTGTAAAAAGTAAAAAAGATTTAGATGTGGTTGAACATTGTTTTCAGTGCTTTTAATACTTGTTTTTATTAAATTAAAAAGTGTATATGACTTTTCAGCCTGTTTGAATTACATTTTAAACTTAAAATACTATTAGGTATGCACAAAGCTAAAAAAAAAAAAAAAAAGTTTTGACAAAGATTTACACAAGTATTTAAGATCCAGCAATACAGATTATGAGTAAAAGAAAAGGTTTAAAAATGTCCTTTTTACTTACTACACTAAAGCAGATGTTTATCTCAGTGCATGGAGTGATAACATAGAATGACAATGACATAAATATATAATACATGAACTCATGGAATATTGATTTTTAGGATATTTGATATTGTTTGCAGTTGATTTTGCGTTGGGGTTTCATTTGTAGTTCAATATTCATGTAAAATGACTATAATTTGTTGATGTGGCAGCCAACGTAAGCTTTATCTTCTCTGCTTTCTTTTCACTCACTGTTATTTTGTTAAGCTTTGTTAGATAGTAATAATGTGGATCAATAATCATGTGTACAATTAAATGAAGGAGATGGATACATGAGGTGAAAAATAATTTTTTCCTGAAAAAAAAAAGAAAAACTAAAATATTTTATTGCGTAGCCTGGAACAGTAGCTCTCAAACTGTTTAACTCTGGATCCACAAAGACTTTATAAAGTATATAAACTTTGCCAACAAAGCCATGATGTCCACACATACTGTCTCAAAAACTTGCATGCTGTTCTTAATTCCATGTTTGACTACAGTTGTTGTCTCGTTCAATTATTAGGCTTAAAAATGCCAATTTAAATTTAGTTTAATTTCTTAAGATCACCACAAGATTCCCATTGCTCGGTGTTTGAAAGCTTGAGCATGCTTCCTCCAACAGGACAGTGACCCAAAACACATAAACACCCAAAAAAAAAATAGCTCAGAAAAATACCTTGGACTGTTCTGAAGTGTCCATCTGAGCCCTGATCTAAATCCTGTTGAACATCTGGAAGGACCTGAAACATCTGGAGAAGAACAAAAGTTCATACTCAATAATCCAGGTAAAAATCCAACAATGGTCCATCAGGTTTCGTGTTTTTCTGAGGCGTTTCCTCCTTCATCCAAAGGACTTCTTCATTCTGAGGAGCCACCAACAACACGAGTCCCTGGAGAAGGAACCTTCAACCCTGAGACAGCTGGAGAAGTTTGATTATGAGGAGTGGATCAGAACACCTGTGGACAGGTGCAGAAGTTTCGGAGAGACTTACTAAAAATCTCTGATTACAGTGATCGCCTCAAAAAGTTGTGTAACAAAATATTAAGTTAAGGTTTTAGACAATTTCACGTTTGTTTTTATAATTATTAAATCAAAGCAAAGTTCTGAAGCAATGACTGACTTAAATATTTAATCTTTTTTTTTATTAATTTTGACAGTTTTTAATTGTTTCATCTACTCTTGTGGTGTTTTTTTCTTTACTGAAGCATATAATATACTGTTAATGTCCTTCAGAACGGATGTTTGAGTCCATGCTGATGAGCTGCTGCCACCTAGTGTTGGGAAAGGGAAACTACACTTGAGTGATCGAAGGTGTGTGTGTGACATGAAAAGAGAAAAACAAGATTTTTTTTCTGATATTTCAGTTACAACAAAATGCAAATTTTATTTTTATCAATAATCTTGTGACGTCTCATTTCTGGTTAGGGTTTAAAATACATTCATAGTTTGTAGCTGACGCAATCATCAGCTTCCATCAGAGCAACGTTTACAGGATGTACAGCAGGAGTGCCACGCTGAGATAGTATCTCATATTTGCTTCAGGGCAGTAAAAAATTTTACAACACTTACTGGAATAGTTACTTCACTGGTCTAGTTTGACATTACACATTAAAGTATTTTTCTTGTAGGTTTTTCCACAGAATGCATCACGTCCTTCCCACGCAGCCTCACATGTGACTCCTGTCACACAACAGTTTGATGGCGAAGGCCAGGTCCACCGTGTACGCCAAGAGCGTAATACTGGAAACCACCATTTCCATGATCACCAACTCTGTGTGAATTTTGTTGTTTTCATGGCCGCTCAGCTGCAGAATCTTAGTTAAACAAATCACTGTAGCAGTCATGTACAGCAGCACCCCGATGAGGCTGAAGCCTGCTAAAAATCTGTCAAAAGGCAGGAGGCATCGCCCCGCAAAGTCACCTAGTATCACCACCAGCGTGACGAGAGACATCAGGACGCAAACGCCATATGAGGTGCACGACACTAGTAGCTGCCATTGTTGTAATCCGCTGCTCAGCTGGAGCACAAACACCACCAGAGGGATGATCTGAACACCTCCCCAGAGTTGAATGATCTTGAGCAGGCCGGGCGTGCTGCCCATGTAGCCTTTCTGTTCGTCGGCTTGGCCTCGGAGCACGAAAAACTCTGAGGCGTAGGCCAGGGCGGTGAGGCCCGAGACCACTGCTGCCGCCACGGGACGGGCTGACACTTCACGATGATCCATGACCATCCAGGGGAAAAACACGAAGGAGCTGAAGCTCATCAGCGCTCCCAGCACCGCCACCGTCACCGTCAGGTTCTTCCAGGATATTCGGATGAGGCTGTGGAACTGGATGGTGTTGAGAAGGTGTATAAGGAGAGTGACCACAAAGAAGAAACACCAGGTGAACATGCAGAAGATCCTGAATGAGCTGAAACTGGAGGCGTTCAGGTCTTTAGACTCCAGTGAGGACACAAGGCTGAAGACGGTGCAGCTGGAGAGAACTTCCAGTGTTCGCACTATAAACAGCGGACTGGTGAAGTCCCGGGTCTCCAGAACGATCACAGGCATTGTCCCAGCTTCAGACCAGAGGAATCCAGAATTATTTTGTGGTGTTAAACAATCCCAGTTTATCCTCTGCTGGATTAAAATAAAAAAAGATGGTTCCAAGGCTCAGTTTTCAGCAATCACGTTGAGCCTTGAAAAAGTTGTTCTGTAGAGTCCATGAAAGCGGGCAGGCCTAAAGAGTTCAAACAACACAAGAAGAACGGGAAGCATCAAATCTGTTTTCTGGGTTCTTCATCATCTCACGGGCACTCCTCAAAACAACCCTTGGATTTTAGTTCTGAAGCAGCGCTGCAGAGGCAAAACTTCGCCTCCTCACCGACTTCCGTTCTGAGGTTGCAGCAGCACAATTTCAGTCTCACTAGAGAAAGGTGCACATGCCCACAATAAAAAACCAAACTCAAACAACCAGCCTCATAGGTTCTCATGAAGTGCAGCGCCTCGACTCCCGTGCGCAAGCTGCACATTTAAGACCCGTCTGCGTTGTCGGGTCATATTTGAAACTGCATGTGGCATGTTTGTCTTGGGATAAGATTTGTTGAGGGCCGTAGATCATCCGAGCCGTGCTTTGTTGGTTCAGTTTGAGGGCGTGTGCCTGTTCAACCCCCCCACAGAGAGACGAAACGGATTTTATGAAAAGCATCTGGCTTCCTTTTACAAATTCACACGTGGAAACTTTTTTTAGTCGTGTGACACGAACAGCAGGTCGTAAATCTCTGATTGCATGTTTGGGATTGTCTGTTTGGAGAGATGACTGAGTGAGGAACAAAAGTTACTGCGACTGGTTTATTTTAGGTGTAAATTTAAAGGTTATATTCACAGATACAAAGGAGCTCGATTGTCTCCTCTGACTCTGCATCACACCTGCTCCTTTCACCTGAACTTTGTGTGTTGTGGCCAAATCCGTCAATTCACTGCTTGAGGTTTTCATCAAAAGGAAGGACCGCAGTATCTGAGTCATAAACATACAGCCATGGGTGAAAGAAAATCTATTTACTTGCAGTATCACTGTAGAGTTTCATTGACCTGGTCTATACCAGGTTCTAAAATTATCCAAATATAAAGTCAGTTGTACAAAAACACACAACACATTTCACCATGTCATTATTTATTTAAAAAGAAAAACTGTAAAAACTGGTTCCACACTTTCTACTTCTTCTGGATTCAGAGGTTCAGGATCAGCCAGGAGCTGCTGATCAAATACCGTACTTACCACCGTATAAGTCGCATCAGTTCAAATATGTCTAATAAAGTGGGAAAAAAAACATAAATACATTGCTTCACCGTATACGTTGCATCTATTATGCGTCACCTCTGACCAAAAATTAGCTGGCTGCCAAAATGTAGGCCGCTGGAGCGTGCACGGGAGGACTCTAACAAGAATTTAACAAGATTAACACTTAAAAACAATTGTTTGTTTGCTTAAAAATATAGCAAAGGTGTGTCTCCGTTTAACTTTTCCTTAATAAATGCACTATATTGGTCAAATCAGCTGCATTTCAAAAACCGATTTGCGGCTGCTGGAGTGTGCAGAGGGACGACTCGCTGTGCATTTCTTCAAAATTTAACAAGATAACCACCAAAAAACAATTATTTGTTTGCTCAACATTATAGCAAAGGTGTGTCTCAGTTGAACTTTTTCTTAATAAATGCACTTTGATGGTCAAATCAGCTGCATTTCGTCTGGGCGTTGCGGCGAAATGCAGCTGATTTGACATTTGTTCCAGGAGTTCTGAAGTGAGACGAAGGTGGCTTGGTATGGCAAGCCAAGTGTCTCATTAATAGCCACTTTTAACCTATTAATGAGACAGTTGACTTGCCACATTTGTCGAGCGCCCTCTAGTGGCTGAAAATGTTAGTGTTTAATATTTTCAACGTCAGAATGAATCAATTTGTCAGATCTCAGCCAACAATTGGTTCATAAATATGGGGGAGGGGGGGTAAATAGTTGCTTTGGTTTATAAGTTGCAGGACTTGCAAATTTATGCAAAAAGGTGCGACTTATATGGCAAAAAATATGATAATGGTTAACTGATTAACATCAGTGATCATCATCACCTCTAAAAAAGTGTTTTTTATTGCTCTGAAGCTCTGAAGCTCTGAAGCTCTGAAGATCTGAAGCTCTGAAGATCTGAAGCTCTGAAGCTCTGAAGCTCTGAAGCTCTGAAGATCTGAAGCTCTGAAGATCTGAAGCTCTGAAGCTCTGAAGCTCTGAAGCTCTGAAGATCTGAAGCTCTGAAGATCTGAAGCTCTGAAGCTCTGAAGCTCTGAAGCTCTGAAG